CTTTCTCATATTTAAATCAGAAGTTCATGGGTGCAAGCCTTATTCTACGAACTGAGCCTGAATCAGTTGACACCCAAATGCAGGACAGTTGGAATTTTGCAGTGTAAGAGGAGCCACCTTTTTGATGAAATATTAAGCCAAGATTCTGTCATGTAGACAGTAAAACACTCACAGGCACTATTTGAAGAGCAGCAGGGGGGTTTTCCAGGGCAACATTCATCAGCAAACATCAAGTTACTGATGTGTGCTTCATTGACGCGAATTGGCTATAACACGACTAATGAATAGTGGACCACATTTGGATAACACAAACTTTCTACCGTACAGTTTAGCGATTTTCTATAGAGATTTCCCTGTAATGCAATTTTCACTGGCGACTTTCTATAGTGTGATTTTCTATGGCGTGAGGTCACATAAGAACGCAACTATCGCGTTACAAGAAAAATACCTGTATGATTATTTGACATGTTTCTATTTCTGGGATCTTGTAGGGGCAAACTGGTTGCTATATTTTCCTATCTGGGAACATTTGGCATCTCCCGAAATCATAGAGATGTACAGCACGGAAAAAGACCCTTCAGTCCAACTTGTCCATGCTGACCAGATATCCTAAATTAATTTAGTTCCACTTGCTAGTGTTTGGTCAATATTCCTCTAAAACCTTCCTATCCGTGTACCCATCCAGATGCCTTTTAAATGTTGTCATTGCACCAGCCTCCACCACCTCCTCTGGCAGCTCATTCCATATATGCTCCACTCTGCATAAATAAACTGCCGCTTAGGTCCCTTTTAAATATTTTTTCCCTTCTCACCTTAAACCTACGCCCTCTAGTTTTCGACTCCCCTACCCTAGGGAAAAATACTTTGGCTATTGAATTGTAAATGTTTTCTGAACCCTTTCAAGTTTCACAACATCCTTCCTATAGCAGGGAGACCAGAAATGAATGCAGTATTCCAGAAGTGGCCTAACCAATGTCGCGTATAGCTGCAACATGGCTTCCCAACTCCTATACTTAATGCACAGGTAAATAAAGGCAAGTGTACCAAATGCCTCCTTCACTACCCTGTCTACCTGCAACTCCACTTTGAAGTGACAATGAACCTGTACTTCAAGGTCTCAAGTCATGTAAGGTACTACAGAAATATACATTCCTATTTATCACTTATACCGATGAGTTCTTTATCAAACAAAGTAAATAAATTTTACAAACGATAGACTGCGCGAAAAATGCGATTCCCTGACCTTACTCCTTAAAGTAAGGAAGGCGATGGCCTAGTGGTATTATCACTGGACTGTTAATCTGGAGACTCAGATAAAGTTCTGGGGACCTGGGTTTGAATCCCACCATGGCAGATAGTGGAATTTGAATCTAATAAATATCTGGAATTAAGAGTTTAATGATGACTGTGAATCCATTGTCGATTGTTGAGAAAAACCCATCTGGTTCACTAATGTCCTTTAGGGAAGGAAACTGCCTTCCTTACCTGGTGGCCTACATGTGAGTCCAGACCCACAGCAATGTGGTTGACTCTGAACTGCCCTCTGGGCAATTAAGGATGGGCAATAAATGCTGCCTAGCCAGCGACGCCCTCATCCCATGAATGTATAACGAAAAAATAAATAAATGGCCTGACCCTAATCTTTATGTCTTCATGTTTTGGATTCCGTCACCAAAGAAAATAATTTCTCCACACGCTATAAAACTCCTGATAAAATAACTTGATTAGATTACTGGTCAACATTATAAACCTGTGAATACAAATCCAGTTTATTTTTTAGACAAGTCCAGATATCATTCTGGCTGATCTTCATGAGCAATATATCTTTGCTAAGTTAGTTCTGGCCACACTAAAACGGGGCTGTAAATGAAGTGTAAGCAAGGTTCTGTGGAAATAGTGTGGGGAAAGTGAGGTTTTTGACTTCTAAATGACAACTTTTCATTTGGAATGAATTCTTCTGCTTAACAGCCTTGACCTTCATTATTAAATTCTGATGTGTAACAGCATGCTAACATTTTAAAAGTAGGGCTCAAGTATATTGCATCTTGAAGGAGAAGGTATTTTTCCTTGGATTCCAAGAATACCACTATCAAAGCAACGTTGATCTTCTGACTTAGCTACAGCACACTGCATCAACACAAATCTGAGTTCCTGCTGTGACTGTGAATCAAATCCATTGGAGACACTATATAGTGTTACAATTTCCCATTTTCTTTTGCCAGCAACATTGTCACTATTACGGAGTTGGTTCTTACATCCTTTACAGATGTTTAACACATGAAGGAATAAAGATCATTCATATCCTTAATGGTGAACTGCATGTTATTTATGACCTGTCTGTCTCAGAAAAGGAAAGATAACTAAGCAAAAAAAAAAAAATCTATACATCACCTTGTATGCCTTCAGGATGTACTAAAGAACTAATAGTAAAAGAAATGTTTGGAGGTATAATTGTTTTTGCAATGTAGGAAAACCCATAGTTAATATGCATGTACAAAAGTCCTGTAAACAGCAATTAGATAAATATCAGTTTGTATGTTTTGGTTGAACACTAAATATTGGCCTGGATTGCACAACAAACACTTTGCCCTTTTTCTAAAAATAACACCAGACCATTTACAGCCACCTAAGCAAGGAGATTTATTTCATCATCTCTCAAAATAAAACACCTCAGGAAATACAGTCTTCCTTCATTACTGCAGTGACAGTTTAATGTTTCATATTTTTGTTTTAAGACTGCAGTGGTGCTGCAAAATATTACAATTAATTCCTGATTGCATACCCACACCTGGGAACTTGACAATAAGGAACAGGCATAATTATATTAGCAAAAAAGACAAACAGCCAAAACTCCAGTTCTTTCACTTGTTTGATGGAAAGAGAGATTCATGCATAAAGTCAGACTAAAATATATACTTGAGATTCCTACAGTATTTTCGTGTTTTATTGAAGCAGATAACTGTTAAAAAGCATAAAAACATAGAAATAAGCCTATTTACTTAAAGTTCAGCAAATTCCACACACACACAAATTAATTATGCACATTGTCAATTACAATTTTAAAGTATAAAATCTAACATTGTAATTTTTTCTTGGAGTTTGGATAACTGCTGAACATTATCTGATTTAGCCAGATTACAGACTGCTAATTTCTTTATTCAAGAGGACATTGGAGTCACCGGCTAGCCCAGCATTTATTGCCCATCACTCACTGCCAGAAATGTGATGGTGAGCTGCCTTTTTGGACCGCTGCCCACAACACCATTAAGGTGTTCCAGGATTTTAACCAACGACAAAGAAACGGTGATATACTTCCAAGATAGATGATGAATGGCTTGGAGACTAACTTATAGATGGTGATGTTCCCATATATCTGCTATCTCTGTCTTGTAGATGGACAGCACCTTCGTAAGTTACTAAGGAGCCTTGGAGAATTTATGCAGTGCATCTTCTGTATGGTACATAGGGTTCCTACTGTACATTGGTGGTGGAGGGAGTGAATGTTTGTGGGTGTGATGTCAATTAAGCAGACAACTTTGTCCAAATGGTGTCAAACTTCTTGAGTAGTGTTGGAGCTGCATTCATCCAGGCTAATGGGGAGCATTTCATCACATTTCTGATGTGTCTTCTGGATGGTGGACAAGCTTTGGATGACAGGAGACGATTTACTCACTGCAGTATACCTAGACTCTGACCTGCTTTTGTAGGTGCTGTATTTAAGTCCAAACCAGTTTCTGGTAAATAGTAACTCTCAGGATTCAGATAATGGGGATTCAGTGATGGTAATGCCATTGAACATCAACACGGGATTGTCAGATTCTGTCTTGTTGGAAATGATCACTGCCTGGCACTTGTGATATGAACGTTACTTGCCACTTGTCAGCCTTTATGACCAGTTCCCAGCCAAGATTCCTCAATTCGTTAGGGCTCTCCAAATTGTCTGAGTCCATGCTGAGGACAGTGAACTGGCTCCCCTTGTTTATTAGTTTGGTTACTTAGTTGGTCGCAACCAGGTTAATTTAAAAATATCTTTTCCCTTGTGGATTTCATTCCCCATACTAAATGAAATGAACTTTTGTTTTAAAAAAGGAGATAATTTAACCAGGCTTTCTTGTCCTAACTAATAAATTTATTCTTTTGTTACTAAATGCAGGAAGAAGAGAAGTTTAACATACATACATACACACAAGAAAAAAAAAAAGAAAGAGTCAAGATACAAGTTAGAAAGTACATGAATCAGTCTCTGGGTCATGTATGGCCTAGGCAGCGTCCCAGCCAGTGCCACTGGGAAGTGGTAATAGCAGTTGGCAATGCACCCTAGGAGATGCAAAGATTCTGGAGTGACTTAGGTGACAGGTGAGACAGAGTGGTCTATAAATCATGGGCTGGAGTCCATGAGGAAGGGGTGTGAAGGGTGTTTGACAACAAGGGCAGGCATGGTTTTCAGCACACATTCTTGATGCATTGTCTTTTCACGAGGCATGGACTGCCTTTTGGATCTTTAAACAGATCCAACAAGAGTGAGTAATGCTACAACCAAAGCATTCAGAAAAAGAGAACAGAGCTGACATTGAAATGCAATCTTGAGATAAGTTTTCAACTGCGTACAATAACAAAAATGACACACCATTTTCCCTTAAAGTGATCAAACTATTTACTTAATCAAATAGGTCATTTCAATTTGCTCCAGTAATTCAGACAACCTGAAGTACATTCAAACCCTTCATAACCTGGATTTTGCAGGTATAAAGTATCGTAGGTACTGTAGGAAATGACATAGTTTATTCAGATCACAGAATTGCATTTTAGCTCAATAATTCATACCTTAATGTGGAACTTAATTGCTTAATTGTTTATTCAAATTAACAGAACTGCAAACATATAAACAGATAAATGCTTCTAAAAGGAAATTTTCAGGTAGTTTGAGCTGAAACCGAGCTGCCAGATGTATTTCAAATAGAATTAATGCTATGCAATGCAGCCTGAATGCCAGAGCCTACCTTCCAATCAATGAGCATATCTGTGGCTTTGGGTTCCCTTTGATAGTTCCAAATATATCAGGTATCATATCACCATTAAAGCTGAAAGGGAATAAATATAAAACTTTAGCCAAAACTTAAGCGATCAGATAACCAATACTTTCAACTAAATTAAATAAAACATTGATAAACACAACTTCTTTCACACAATCACAATCATCGTGCAAGGCAGGAAAATTACGTACTACATCAGAAAAAAGGAGAAAATGCAATATTTTTAAAAATAAGTAAAAATTAAAACACATACACAAGCAGGGCATTTATTCCTGCAAGCTTGTTTTTTTAGGTCGTTTAATTAGATCAAGGCTGATCTGCATCAGATCTCCATTTATCCACACTGCTTTCATATCCCTAAAAAGTCTTGATAGCAAAATGATCAATCTGTTATGAAATTTACAACTGTCTTAACTTTAATAGCTTTATGGGAAACACAATATGCAAGTTCTTTCGGACAGTTGGGTACTGTCGTCAGTTTTTAAAAAAAAAAAAATCTGATATCATCTAGAATGCCAGTACCAACTGGTATGACTCTCAGAATGATAACCATAAGCCATTTTTGTTATTTAATTTAAGCAGTGGTCAAACCATCTAATTCACCATTTCACTGTTTCCTGAAATAGTGGACATATACTTATCTACAACATTCCATTGCCTGCATTTTCAACATTGGAATAATGGACTAAAGGAAATGTCATAAATCTAATAAAATAGCCATCAAGCTCAAAAAGGGAAAACAAAAACAATTGCTGAAACATGTTTTGGTACAGACACACTGCATTTATATTAGAGGTCTTCATGAATAACTTGACTTCATAATGCATTGCCACATTGTAAGCTAAACAAAACACATACTCTGTAAAATTACGTCCCTTTGAAGAAAATCAAGAAACAGTAATCCAGTTAAGTTTGAAAACAGCAATCTCTTCCCCCTCTGCACTTCAGATTTATATATACACAATATTCATATCATAACTATGTAGATGAATATCCATCATTTAATAGTCTTCCATTTAATCAAATCTTTCTTCAATTCCACAAATGCAGAAATGCATTCAAGTTAGTGCTGTAATTGAAATGGTTTCAACGGTAATATAATTTTACCAGCATCCACTCTGATTTAAGTTGCTCCCAGTCCCCAGGCATTATGAGCTGATTAAGTTTTTACTATCTAAAAGTTAAAATTTATTTAAGGAGGTAACAAGTAAGCTTTACTTTCATCAATGCAAAAATTCCTAGGAGTCAACAACAAATTTAAGCCTGAATTTGCTGGCAAACTTTCCATACAATCAATTTGATTTGTTAACTCGCGGCAAGCTCAAGAATGAATCAGTGCACTCATGGAGGGTACAGCCAATCACTTATCAATCAGACCAAACACAAGGTACTATAGAAATCTCGCATCACAACTTAGGTGTCGCACAAGAGGGGAAAGCAGCTATATTTTTTAAATGTTGTTAAACCAACTGTAAAAACAAATTTGGTTAAGAAGGATGAGTAAAGTGCTCTAAAAAAAAATTCCAGTCATTGTAATTGACTCAGAGACAGCAAAAACTGCAGATACTGGAGGAGCACAGCAGGCCAGGCAACATCACAGGAGCAGGGAAGTTGATGTTTCGGGTCAGGACCCTTCATCATAAAATTTCTGAAGAAGATTCCCGACCCGAAACATCAGCTCCTGTGATGTTGCCTGGCCTGCTGTGCTTCTCCAGCTCCATACTGTGCTATCCCAGTCGTTGTAATTGTTTTTTTGCAAGAACATTGCAAGCCGTTTTTTGAACTATTCACATCTCAATATGAACTTCTGTAAACTCTGTCTGAAAGCCAAATGACAAGTTACTGCGAAGCTCTTTGACCAGTGGAATTTTACTCAAAAAAATGTATTGGTCTTTCTCAAAAATAACTTGTCAGGAAGCTGGAAGGTAGCAGCCCAACTGGAGGATTTTTTTCTTAATTGTCATGATATGTTCAAAAGTATTGTAGGTTCTCAACACAATTTCAAAACCACAACTCCCATCATGTCCGCTGTAGTTGGGAATCTTAAACTGCCCTACATTGCTGAATTCAGAATAAAATTTCTTACTCGAACTGAAGAACAATAAATTCCAGATTCTAGACAAAGGGGCAACTTTAGTGGAAAAATGTCCAGAGATTTTTAAAATGAAATAATTACTTCTATTGGGTGAAGTTTAAAAAGCTTTGTGTATTTCTTAAAATTTATGCGAGTGCCCATTCAGCTGGAGCCATTTGAAAACAAAAGACAGGCAACACGATTGGTTCAGATTAGTGCATGTGTACTCATTGCTTCTCCGTGGAATTTCCTCATCTTTACTTTGCTGAATTACTATTGTTAGATTCATAATTAAAACATTCAAAAGGTATGACATCGGGTGTGTCTTTTTTTGTCATGAGCTGATTTTAAAATGCCAATTTACACATTTATATTTGATGCACTATTAAGCCTTTTAATTATGCAGGTATTTCAACACCAATGACAGGACTAATCATGTTCCACTAGCTCATTTTAACAGTGAGGTTAAAAGATATCAGTCTTTCAAATTTGTGGTCAATGAAGCATCCAAATGATTAGAGATGCATGCATTAGTATATTCAAGTTATACAATTATTAATTACTTCCCTTAGATTTTGAAGTTTGTTGAGCTTTATTCCAATTTATAGGTATAGTTGTTTCTAATTACAGTTTTTTTTAGAAATCTATAATTAAGACTCTAATAATGACCATGAAACCATTGCTGAATGTTGATAAACCATTATGGTTCACTAAAGTCTTTTAGGGAAGGTAATTTGTCACCTTTACCTGGTCTGATCCACACGACTCTAGACTCACAGTAATGTGGTTGACTCTTAACTTCTCTCTGGATAATTAAAATGACAGTAAATGCTGTCCTAGCCAGCAACACCCACTATTCATGAATGAATAAGTAAAAAAATCCTGAATAATAATTTTATATTTGTTGCATGATAAAGTGTTACACCCTTCAAGAATGAAGAACATAGTAGAAAGTGGCATTAATCGAAAGTTGCAAAAGTCTACCAAGAGGAAAGAGCAAAGAAAAGTTTTCAAATTCCTTAATTTTGCCTCTACTGTCAGTCATTTACAAATGACACAAAAATCAACCAAATTAGACTTTTCTAAGTATTTTTTGACCACCTGCTAATTTTATAAATAAACAATTCATCACATATTAAACATAAAATTAAGAAATTAAAAAGAAAATCTGCCAATTTTAGCAGTTAAATGAAAAGTGGAAACAAGAAACAATATCATAAGTTAACATGGCAGTACATTATTTGACCGACACACATTAGGAGTGGATTTAAATTATTTTTGAATAGCATAGGAGAAAACAAAAGACATACAAGTGGAGAATTAGACAGACCAAGAACTGGACACTCAAAGTTACCCGCAGACCAAGATTGCAAAGCAATCGCTCAATCTGTATTTGATAACCCCAGTATAGAGGGGACACATTGTGAACAAAAAGAGTATGCTAAATTGAAAGGAATTCACTGTTTCACTTGAAAGGAGTATTTGGGGCACTGAATTCTGGGACACGAGGTGATGAAAAGGCAGGTGCTGCATTTTGTGTCTACATGGAGGGTGCTGTAGAAAAGGGACAGTGTTAAGTGCAACGGCAAAGTGGATCAGGATGTCCCAAATGGACCAATCCTTTCAGAATGCAGAAAGGAGAGGGATGAGATGTATTTTGTGGTGCCAACATACAACAGGTGGCAGAAATTATGCATTGAATTGAGGGTGGTTGAACGGATGATGAGGACAAAGGGACCCGCTCCATTCTCTGTCTCTTGCACCAAACATTTCAACACCAGAAAAAGCCTGGTGGCAGAATACTAGACAATTATTTAGTATTGACTTCCTTTCAGGTGCACAGCATACCATTAATTATAGGAGCAGGTGCGTAATCAAAGTGACGACTGCTTGTGGCATTTAGGTTACTTTGTAGCATTCTAAATCACCTTGAAAGGCTGCAGTGCTTTATCAGCACATTTTTATGTTAATATATACAGCAAGACCTGTTTTTACTCATCAACATAAATTCAAGAACAAGAGGGCACTCAGAATGCATACCTCTACTACATTGTGCTAACTCAATAATTACGTAGTTCTTTCAGACTTTGTATTACAACTGCAAAACTGAAAAAAAGAATATTTTTTATTAAGCTTTTCTTCTCACAGAGGAAACCTTAGGCTAATCCATATCTAACAACATATTCTGAAAGCTTGGCTCACATTTGACAGCCGTAACAAATTGTATGCAAGCAGGGGAGATCATCTACATTATTCTAAACAAAACAATTCTAAAAAAAAAAAGTCAATTCATTTCATCTCCCCATGTTCAAGGATTTTGAAAGAAGAAAAGCAAGGATCAGGATCCTCAACAGAAATGAGTCAGTTCTTTCTTCAGCCATACCTATTTGTGTATAAGCTTTGTTGAAATGCATTCACCAAGTTCAAGACACTTTTTTTAAGCAGACCTAATAAGCAGGATAAAAATATTACCCCGTTCACAAACAGGGGAAAGTGATGGCCGAGTGGTATTATTGCTGTATAGTTAATCCAGAGACCTAGATAATATTCTGGGTTGAATTCCACCACAGTAGATAGTGGAGTTTGAATTCAATTAAAAAAAATGTAATTCGGAGTTTAATGATACCATGAATTCATTGTCAATTGTTGGAAAAAAACATCTGGTTTACTAATGTCCCTCAGGGAAGGAAACTGCCATCCTTACCTGATCTGACCTACATGTGACTCCAGACCCATAGCAATGTGGTTGACTCTCAACTGCCTTTTGGACAATTACAGATGGGCAATAAATGACAACACTCTCGTCCATGGCTGGAGAGAGAGAAAAAAAAAATCTAACCTAGGAATCTGATCAGGAGCAGGCCATTTGGCATCTCAAATATGCTCTAGCATTCAATAAGATAACATGATAGAAGTAAATAAATGGAAAGACATTTGATGGTTAACCAGTCTCTGCTTAAAAAGAACACTATGT